AAGTGATTGATTATCTATGCGGCATGAACACATGAACACAGAAACAACTATACATGTGAACGAGGAAACGGCAGGTTCATAAAATGGGAATACGAAAACTTAGGGTAAACATATAAACATTAAAAATATAGGAGTACTATATTTATAAATATGCTATATAAATATATATGAGTTTTCATTTATATGTAATTTTTTTATATATCTCCATACAAATATATTCGAAATAAACTATCAACTATCAATATGTGATTGATCATTAAATCATGTAATTAATTAGGGAAACAACAAAAATATTTAGAAATTTGCTACTCAAATATATTTCTAACTTCTCAAAAATTACAAAATGTCCTATAAGGTGTCCGGCAGGTGTTCTCAGGTGTCGAACACGAAACACATCGAAAATACGAATACTTAAAAAAGTTGAAGTTTTCATGTAATATAAGTGATAATCGAAATAGAGAAATAAAGAAATAAATAAAGAACTGCAGTACTCGTAGGTTGAGTTTTACCTTTTTCACTATCTACATGAAAAAATGTGAAACTGAAAAAAGAAAAAAGTCTGTTAAGCAGATTTAAAAAAAACATAGAAAAGTGACTAAATACCATTTTGATCAATGGCTGTTTCTATAATTAATTATATTGCAATTTACAAGTGTATCTATCTATCTCATTACATTAATATTTGATTATCTCAAAAGCATATTTAGCTAGCAAGATAGGAATGCTCTATACGTACATCTCCTCTTTTCGGGCCGGGCCTTATGATAATCAACCAATTATACTGGCCCGATCAACTGAATTTGCTAAATATTGAAAATAATTATTCGTCCGACTATTGTGGGTTGAAAAATGGCCGCCAACTATTATTTTTTAATTGATGCAAAAAAATTTGATTGATTGATATTAGGGGTCTTAATATATAAGTCTAGTCACGGGTGACAAACCTTATTAGAACTAAATGACAAGTCTAATTAAAATTTGCTTCACATCATTTATTAAATTCATTCCAAAAATGCCCCTCCACTCACAAATTCGAAATTATACCAAATTGTAAGTATATTATGATGAACTATGGTATTATTTAACATTTTTAAGTTTGCATCTAGCATTTTTTTTTAATTTTTACGTGAAACACGTTTTTTTTTTTTTTTTTCCGTATTGTATCATTATATAAAAATCTATTTTTTCCCCTTCTTTTCTACATAAAGTGAAAATTATGATTTTTTTAATTTTTTCGGTTGTAGACATCTTCAGAAACTCATAGGAAACCATAGTAATCCGTAGTCACCCATAGACATCTTGAAATCCTAAGACATCTTGAAATCCTAAGACATCTTGAAACCCTAACTCCTCCTACAAACCCTAGCAGCCAGACCCATAGACACTCATAGACATCCAAATCGATTTTTTTTTAAATTTTCCCCACCAAACCCTAGATCCACTCCTCCATCCACCACCATCACCACCACCACCATCACCGAACGCCGCCATCACGCCATCATCCATGCCCAATACCATCGCCGCGCCTTCCACCATAGGTCTAACCTTAAACCACCATAGCCGCCGTCTCCTTGCCTCTACAACCATCCGCTTATTGTCGCCGTCTCCACCGCCATAACCACTGCCCCCTCAATAGTGGATTGGAGTGGTGGAGAACGAAAGAGATCATAGAGAGAGATATCGATATCGAAAAATAGAGAGATAAAGATTGTGAGAGAGAGCGAGAACAGAGAGGAAAGAAAAATAAATCTGAGAGAAACGTGACTTTAGAATTTATGGATTTAGGTTAAGGGTAAATTAGGGATAAAAGAAAAATTGAGGATGTGACTCATATTTATTTTTCTAAAAAGGATTTAGTTCATAAAAAAATATTAAGGTTGTATTCCACATCTAATTATGTTTCCTACTAAGGACATCTAGCATATTACCCCTTGATATTATTGGTCTTCTAATTATTTAAAACTAATTACAAAAAGATGATGTTCTATCTACCTTACTTTTTAAAAAATAAAAACAAAATATTCAAAAAAACTTATCTAGCAAAATCCCTAATCTCAAAATTAAGAGTTATCAACTAAATTCTTATAAAAATAATATAAAGAAAAATGAATTAAAAAAATAAAATAGCATATAGAGCTATATAACTTTGATCTTGAGCTTTTGAGTTTTGATTTCTTTTATTTATTCTATTAAATTGAAGTTTTAATTTTTTAATAATATAATATTATCATAATTTTGTTAAATTATTTATCAATAAAAAAATTCACAAAATTATTACCCAATCTACCAAGTTTAGAGAAAATTGAAAACCCCCAACCGATGCCGTTTATATATGGGTTGGTTAAAATTATAGGCGCGATATATAGATTGGTTAAGTATCGATTATCGCATTTAAAAATAGTTCGAAAGTAGGTCAGTTGAATTAAACCGACTCATTTCCAGTACTTATAGAGACACCCTATTTAGACAATTCCAAAAAAGAAATTAATAAAATAAAATAACACTTCACACCTAAAAATCATTAATATCTACACTGTCCACCCCTAATATATATTTTTGTATCAAAAACCACCGTCAAAATAATGACTCTATGTCGGTATCACTTTGACAATTTGTACCCTCAAATATCCGAAATGATGTATTCAAAATTGCAACCTCCTCAAGTGGCGTTTACGAAAATATTATTATTTTTATCAACATATTTAAAAATTATTTAAGTCACAAAAAAATATTTTATAAAAGAAAAAGAAAAAAAATCTTTCAGCTATTTTATTATCAAATTATTTAAAAATTATATTTTCTTCCAACCATTTCTATTAAATATTTTCACCAAATACACTAAAAGATTCATCAATCACATAATTGAGTGAGTGTTTCTTTTTTTTTTTGGTAAATTATTGGTTTTTTTTTTTTTTTTTTTGCACTTTTCATGCTCGAGATTAGATTGGAGGTAGAAAATAACAACTTAATTTATTATTTTGCACTCTAGAAAAAAAAACTAATAAAAATGAAATTACCCTAATTAATTTTTAGTTGTTTAATTCAGGGTGCACTGTGAGTGATTAATTGTCTTTTGAGGGTTCATTATGAGTGATTTATTACCTCTAAACGATATAAAGTGCTATTAATTTATTTTAATGGTGCAAAGTGTAAAATACTACATTTCAAGAGTGCAAAATAAAATCAAAATATATGATTGAAATGAATCCATGCAATTAATCAAAATAAGAAATGAATCCACGCAAACAAAGTTCAATTAATTTATTATTATGAATCTAAAATCCATAACTTCAAATGCAATCTAATATATAAATACTAATTAAAGGGGTGAAAAGTGTCAAATGATACATTGCAAGGGTGCATAATGCATTTTATTACACGATAGAAGAAAAGAATAACACCTTCTAAATTAAAAAAAAAAAAGGATAAATAGTACTTAACCCGGTATTTACAAGTTTTTACAGATGATTCCTTTGTGCTTGTAATATCAGCACATAACTCTCTTGTGCTTTATGGGGTAACTTTCATTAATTTTTCCGTTAAACTTAATTACATGTGTCACACGTCAAAGTATTTTTTTTCCCAGATGACACCCTTGTGATTTCATTATTCCTTTGATTTTTGCAAATGACACCTTGAAGTTTGACAGATGCGGTTAATTTTAATGAAAAACTAACGGAAGCTACTCACATAAAACACAAGAGGGTTATGTGCCGATATAACGAGCGCGAGAGGTCATCTGCAAAAGTTTGTAATCACACGGGGTTAATGCTATTTACCCTATTTAAAAAAAAAAAAAAGCCTACACCCCTACCAAGAAAGCGACACCGTTTTCATTTAAAAAAAAAATTAGAGCAAAAATTAACACCCATAATAATAAGATTTATTACCCAAAAAATCACATTATTTTTTATTTCCCCCAAAATACAATCAAATGAAGCAAGAAATATCTTCCTTCCTTTAAAGAAAGAGTCTCCTTTACAAACAACAAACAAAAACAAAACTGCGAAACCCCCCCAAAAAAAAACATATACTCTTCAAAACCCCATTTCTTTATTTCTTTTCCTTCTTAGCAATAGAATGCTTCCTCAAACCAGCATTCTCTTGTTCTTCTCTCTCTTCTTCCTTTCTCTCTCTTCTTTTATTTCCTCCACCATTTTATTCAACCTCACCCTCCCTCATCAACACCCCTATCCAGAAGCTGTGGTTCAACAGGTACAAAGGTATATACATACATACACACACATATATATATATATATATGCATTGCTGTCATGCATTCTTGAAAAACAGAGCTCAAAAATTTCATCTGGTTTTTGCACAAAGATTGAAACTTTCCATCTGGGTTTTGTTCAACAAGATCATTCCCCAATTGGGTTTTTTTCTTTTGGTAGAATTTACAGCATTTTGTATATTTTTAAAATTTTCACCTACCATATGGTGTTTCTGTGTTTTTTTTTCTTGCTCAATCATCATTCTTCTTTTATGTGTTTTTGAAGAATTTAATGTTGTATTGCAATTTGGTCCTAATTTTGTAGTAATTCAAGAACTCTGCCTCACTCAATTTGGATTTTCTCACATTACCCTGTTTCATGAGTTCTTCCCCCTTCTACTATTCTGCAATTAATATCCCATCCCTCCATGTGGGTCTATCTTCTAGTTTTATTACATTTTTGCCACTCCTAATTTTCATTTTTTAGCTATCACAAAAAAATCCCCTTAAGTAGGGGGGACCCTCTGTTTTTTCACCCCCCAGAAAAGAAAAGAACATTTCTTCATCACTAGTTCCTGATTTCACTTTTTTTTTTTTTTTTTTCTCTATAGGAGTATAAATGCTTCAATATCAAGAAGACGGCAACTCCTCGCCCCCGGGCAGTCTCAATGCCTGACCGGGAACCCAATCGACGACTGCTGGCGGTGCGACCCCGACTGGGCCGCCAACCGCCAGCGCCTCGCCGACTGCGGCATCGGGTTCGGCCGCGGGGCGCTCGGGGGAAAGGGGGGCCGTTTCTACGTCGTCACCGACTCGTCCGACCGGGACGCGGCGAACCCGACCCCCGGCACCCTCCGCCACGCGGTCATCCAAGACGAGCCCCTCTGGATCATCTTCCAATCCAACATGGTCATCAAGCTCCGACACGAGCTCATCTTCAACAGCTACAAGACAATCGACGGGCGCGGGGCCCGCGTCCACATCACCGGAAATGGGTGCATCACCCTGCAGTTCGTCAGCCACGTCATCATCCACAACGTGCACGTGCACGACTGCTCACCCTCGGGCCACACGATTGTCCGGTCCAGCCCGAGCCACGCGGGCTGGAGGGGGACTTCGGACGGCGACGGGATATCCCTATTTACGGCGCGAAACATTTGGATTGATCACTGCGCTTTGTCACGTTGCAAAGATGGATTGATTGATGCCATCATGGGGTCCACGGCTATTACGATCTCTAACAGCTATTTCAGCCACCACGACGAGGTTATGCTACTAGGTCATAACGACAAGTACTTGCTCGACTCGGGGATGCAGGTTCGTTTTTTTGCGATTTTCTTGAATTTTTTTTTTTTTTGCCCAATATGAAATAGTGGATGTGTTTTAACGACGGTTGGTGACGAAATGTAGGTGACGATAGCGTTCAATCACTTCGGGGAGGGGCTCGTGCAGAGAATGCCGAGGTGTAGGAGAGGCTACATTCATGTCGTGAACAACGATTTTACGCAATGGGAAATGTACGCGATCGGAGGAAGCGCTAGGCCCACCATTAACAGCCAGGGCAATCGATACACCGCGCCGGCCGATCCTAATGCTAAGGAGGTACATTTGTTTTTACATCAAAATTTTAATTATTATAACATAAATGAAAATATAAAACTTCAGCAGCGGCGGAGTTAGGATTTTATATTTTTAGGGGCCAAATGCACACAAAAAAATTCTCTAGGGGGCCTAAATAATAACAACTCTTTGTAAAAAAAATATTTAGGTTTTTTAAAAGTGGTGGGCCCCACAACAGATGGCCCCTATGCTGGCTCCGCTACTGAACTGAACTGACTGTTCATTCATATATTGTGATAATAGGTGACAAAGAGAGTTGAGACGGATGAGGGAGAATGGTCCGGGTGGAATTGGAGGACGGATGGGGACATAATGGTAAATGGTGCATTCTTTGTCCCGTCCGGTGAAGGCCTCAGCATGCAATATGCTAAGGCCTCCAGCGTCGAGCCGAAGTCCGTCGGCCTCATCGATCAACTCACCGCGAATGCCGGTGTTCTTGGCGGTCCAAGGTACTATTTTTTCACCTATATTTAAATTTTTGTAGAACTTGTTTGGGTGAATTTATTTTACTAGCATTTTTAATTTATAGCTCTCGTTTTTAGGTTTTCTTTTTTTTTTAATCATTGCATTAGGGTTTTAGATCAAAATTTGAATTGAAAAAGGTGAAATTATTAACCCAAAAAAAAATCAATTTTTTTTTTCAAATGGGATGGAACCATTGTCTCATAATATGGCAAAGAATATTAAAAAATTAAAAATAGTATTTATTTATTTGATAATGGATAATGTGGGACGTCCAAGGTTATATTTGGGTGTTTAGTGTGTAAATCTTGAAAATAGTAATAATATTCTATTCTTGATAGTTGATGCTTTACAGCCAAATGTGGGCCCCTTTTAGCCCACTAGTTTGGTCATTTTCTTGGCCCACTTGACAACAAGTTTGTCCCAATGGGAAAAAAGGAAAAAGCTTAACAATTTGGATTGTGGCTTATATGCTGGCTCTCTTATATTCTTGGTGTTATAATGACCCTTTTAACCCTCTTATTTAAAGTGTTATTTCCTCTAATTTCTCTCAATTAATTATTTGTTTTGTTTGTGAGAATCATTGTTTGAAATAATTTAGGAGTAACAATGGTAAAATTGAAAATCAGTAATCGATAATGCATCATTGAAACTGTAAAGTGCAGAATGCAGATAATATAGAACTATAAATTTTATCCATAACGACAATCATTTCAGGATAAAATGATCGTCCTAGCCCTCTTTCTTATCGAATCTTTCTAAGCCTTGTTCGTTTGAATTGTGAAGTTATTATATAGTTTGAAATAATATACGAGTAACAACGGTAAATTGAAAATGAATAATCAATGATGCACTATTGAATTTCTAAAGTGACAGATAATATAAAACTGTAAATTTCATCTAGAACGACAATTATTTCAGGTTAAAATGACCGTGTTAGCCCTCTTTAATTGAATCCTTGTATGCTTGTTAATTTGAATTGTGGAGTTATGATATAGCAATAATGATGTTTGAGGGGTCACATCAAATTCGAAAAACACACACAACTATATGTGTGTTTGTAGTCCATAGAGATTAAAAAATGTTTCTTTGCCAAAAAAAAAAAATTAAAGAAATTACATAAAAACTAAAATTTGATTGATGATGTAAGAGAAATTTTGTCCGAGGAACTATTTTGCACATGCATTTTCCCATGTATGGATCCCACTTGATGTTCATTGTTCTTTCTAAAGTTATTCCAATCTTAATGTCTTTTTCAAATTAAATGGGGCAACCTCATTTGTGCATGGACTTTTGCAACCATTGATAAAGTTTCTTTCTAGTGTCATCAACATGTGATACAGTTTATTTTATGTTACACTCGTTGAACTTATCGTAAATCGTATTACACGTTTTTTAACTCTTTATTTCCCGCGAAATCGTATAGGTAAAAATACATTTTTCGTTTCTCAAGTTTACCTCGATTTTATATTTGGTCCACGTATTAGATTTAGCCCCTCATGTTAAAATAGTTGAATACTTGTGGTCATTTTCGTCAATTTACCGCCGGTCTGTTAGTTAAGACAATGATGGTCATGCTTGATTCTGTTACTACTGCTAACTGAAACTTGACGGAAATGACCAAAAGAGTTCAATTGTTGAAACGTGATGGACTAAATCTGCTTTTCGTGAACGTTAGGAGACCAAATGTGCAATCGAAGTAAATTTGAGGGATGAAAATTTAATTTTCCCCACTCGTATATCTATAGATAAAACAAAAATTAGGGTTTCAACTCAACTACCACAAGGCCATAAATATTTGCCTATTTTCATTCATTTTTCGTCTCGCATTTCATTTCATATACGTGATACATTTAACTATACGGAGTTTATTGCATTATGTATCATGTGTTATATCGAATTGCTGTAAAATCTCCCCTATTTTTAACACTAGTAAAATTATAAATGAATATTTGAACTAAAGAGTTTTTTTTTTATTTTTTTATTTAATATAATGTAGGGACAATAGTGTTAGCATATCATATGGGGGAGAGGGGAGCGCCGCCGGAGCGACAACCGCAAATGGTGGTGGTGGTGGGTCCAATGACGGTGGCGATGGTGACTACTTTGGCATGATATTTGGGAGCGGCGCCGCGCCAGCTCGATTATCACCACCCACTACTACTACAATGTTATTGTCTCTTCTAATTATTTTATTTTTGTACACTACCACCAACCATGGTGGTTCACTATCATTATTGCCCTCTTTTTCACTATAGAAAAAATTAAATATATTTCCACAAATCACAAAAAGAAAGAAAGTTTTTCAAATTCAATGAAAAAGTCCAATTTATGTTGATGGAATTTGAAATTGATGGTCCCATTGTCTCTTGAAAAGGATATTGTGACGTTAATATTTAGAAGGAAAAAAATTGAAATAGAAAGCACTACCACTAGTATTTTCTGGTACACTGGATAAATCTACATCTCGTATAATTGCATTGCTTGCATTATACGAGAGACTTAAATCACACTAGGCTAATCATGTGTGACAAATCCGACTTAGCGATCGTTGGCAGTATGATTCGAACTTAGTTCAATTGACACAATTTCACTTGTTTCAACCGCTGGAGAGATAAGAAAAGATGTGAGGTATGGGTGCAACACGAGGACTTTCGTGTGGGTCACCAAAATATTTTTTGATTTTTATTTTCTATTTATGTGGGGGCGGTGGGCATTCTTTAATATTCAATAACCTTTTAGTGCACGTATTATTTTAATTAAATGAAATGTAACGAATTGTTGATTAATGTGACTATCAAATTTGACAAGATCCAATTATTTGCCAGGTTAAATTGCAAAATCACCGATGACAAAAGGCATTAACTAAAAAGACATCAATTTTTTGTCTTGCAAAAAGATACACATCAACACTTATTTGAAATTAAGGAAAACTCTCTCATGTACACTAAAGTTATCCATAACTTTTTAATACCCTAACTCACCACAATTTCATGATTTAAATTATAATTTAGTCTCAATTTTGCTAATTAATTAATTTTAACCTAATTTTGACCGTTACCGCGGTTTTTGGTGTTAACTTTGTTCTTTTTTTCTTTTTTTTTTCATTGGTTGACTTTTTGGTTGTCATAAAATAATTGTTAACACAATAATATTATTATTTTAATATTATTGTGTTAGATTTCGATATTACTATTTCAGAGCCTGCAATATTATGTCAAATACAGTATTATTGTGTCTTGGCAAACAATATTACTGTATCAAACTGTAATATTGTTGTTAACACAATAAATTATTACAGCTTTGGTTGTCTCAAAAAAAATTGAAAAAGAAAAAGATAAAAATATTTAATAATACAGTGAACACATAAATATTAATGTGTAGGACTGCTTTTTTGAAGAAAATATTTAATATTGCAATTTAATGCCAGTTAGTGGCCGGAAAAAAATTAGAGAAAAAAACAATTTACTGACTATTTTTTTTTTTTTTTTGTACCGGTGAAAATAGGGGTTAAGAGCAACTCCAATGGAGGCACTAAATGAAGTATCAAACTAAAAAATTACCACTTTGATGCTCTAAAGAGAGAATTATTTTGATATTCAACTACCCCGAGGTGCAAAAATACTCCCTGGAAAATGAGGTATCAAAAATATAACCACCCAATTAACTTATCACTATTTGACACGTGGCATTTAAAAATATAATTATTCATATACTTAAAATTTGATAATCTATTTGATACTTGTGGTTGGAGTGAATTTTTTTTCAAGAAGTATCAAAGTATTATATCAAGCATCAAATAAATATTTAATGCTCCATTTTGATATCTCCCCATTGAAGCTGCTCTAATAGGATATATGTGTTAAATATGGAGTTAATTTGCAATATTTGTTAAAATGGGACATTATGGATTAAATTGATGTAAATTATACTGTGAAAAGGGTATTTTTGGGTAAGAGACAAGGGGATGGACTTGTTTATAGAACTGGTTTTGATTTGGATAGAAGTGCAAATAAATTCTCTTCCTTGGGGTTATATGCAAATATTGAAATAAGTTGATTAGTTACAATTTTGGTTTGCTAATATGTAAATAAGTTAAATATTGAAATATGTTTGAAGTGATTGGTCTTTCACACATATAGCTTACTATATACTGACATAAGCAAATTAAATCTTGACAATTAACACATATTATTATCACTCACAAGTCACACACAATATGCATAATTATCAGGAAATATGTCCCTATATCAATCTGTCAAAATCGTAAATTGATCATACGAAAAACGAACACGAATCGAGCTCTTGTCCACAAAGAAAGAAAAAGAAACGCAGACTTTTCTCGGAAGAGAATTGCAATAATGTACTTGAGATCGAAAGAATCGACAAAATTGTTATCTGCTACAAAATTGTCCAATAAAAGAAACCACAAAAAACAAACATCACCTTCAACAATCGAGCTACTTAAAATCAAAACAAGACCTATATCACCTCATACAAATCTATAATCAAATGACACACAAAAAAAAAAAAAAAGATGAATGAAATATTTACATAGCTCTTGAACCGTCTTCGTCAAGAACCCCATCCTTCGTTTTTTTTTCTTTTCAGATTCTTTTGTTTCGGGAGAAGTGGTAATGGTTGGAAAACATTTCAACCAATAAATAGATAAACAAAAAAAAAAGTTTAATTATTAGGATAAGAAAACCAAAAAAAGAAAAACAAAAAAAACAAAAACAAAGGCGGAAAAAAAAAAAAATCGGCAAAAAAATTTCAATAGTCCTCGTACCTCCTCCTCTTTCATTTTGCTATCTTCCTTTCTTTCAGCTCTCACTTTGCTTTTCGCGCAAGTCATTCCTATTTCCCTTGAATTAACAATCAAGCAGCAGCCAAAGAAGAAGTAGCAGTAGAAATACGTTTTTCGAAAGAAAGAAAAAAAACCCACATGAAGATAGATCTCTACAAAGAGAAGAACCGTGTTTTTTTTTTCTTCTCATTAAGTGATCTGACCAGCAACTTCTTCGAGTCTTTTCCAAGTGGAGACGCGTTTTTCTTCAACTTCTTCACTTTTGGCCTCTTTTTCATCGTGCTGCCTCTTACACTCTTCGAATAGCTCCGTATCCATTTCTTGGAACATTCTACGAACATTTGAGCTCAACCCGTTGATTGCTTGGTTCCAGTGACTTTTTATATTCTTCTCTAAGGCGTAAAATATGATGGGCAGAATAACATGTCGATTCTCTGCAATCAAGCCTACTATGTGCTCGTTGTTCCACCAGAAAAGAGCCCGTTCCGCTACCTGTCATGCAGAAAGAGGAAAAATCTAGACAATTTTAACCACAGAATTACGAATGAGGGTCGAAAATGTAAAATGTTGAATAGCAGATGCAACTCGATACTTGACAACTAATACTCTGTTTAACAAATATTTATAAATACGTATCTGAATTCTAAATATTACGACAAAATATATTGTAAATACTAATTGAATATCATAAAAGTAAAAAAGAGAGTATTGAAAAGGATTACTATTATGTAGCTATCTCTAAATTCTGTCTATATATAAATGGAACTAAAATCTAAAAATTATATCAAAAATATTACGATTATTACTTGAATATAAATAATTTCAAATAATAGAATATAATCTACAATAATGTATAACAAAAATTGATAACATGATCATCTCTATGTCGATTGTTGGTGTCGTTACCACAAACTGGATGGTAGTGACAGATATAATAGTTTTTAGTTATTGCATAAAAATAAGTACAAGCCTAAGAATAGAAAACTAATATATATATATATATATATATATATATATATATATATATATATATATATTGCGTCAGTTCAATATTGTAGCTAGATGATACACTACTAATAGGCTATAACAACTAATAACTTTGAGATATCCATATCCTTAACGTAAGATCAGTACAATAGTGGCAATTTATAATGTAAGATCAATACAATCGAGAGTTCATATGACGCAAGCATTTTTCAACCTCCGACTGAAATTCCGTATTATACATGGAATTACACAATAAGAAAATATCATGTGGACGAACAAGATAAAGATGCAACTCAAATTTTGCAACATTCTCTATGCACGTGAAGAGGACTGATAAACGTAAAACGTCTACTAGAAAATAGATATTTTCTAATTTCACTCACAAAGTAATCTGAATGTTTATTCATGCAATGATTATATATACCAATATGAACTAACTTGGCAAAAACTAAGATACTGATATACTAAAGCTTGTTCTTAATAAGGTGCGACCACGTAAATCTCATGTTCAGATAGATAAATGCCATTTATATAATTCAGATTCAAGTTTCATATCAATATTCACAATAGGTTAGCAAATTTACACAAACACACACACACACACACACACACACACGTGTATATACATACATATATATACACGCAGATATAATATATAACATTATGTTAGGTACCAAGTAAAGGGTATTCTGGAACCTGGAAATGTGGGCTATTAAGACTTCTTCCGATTTGTCTAAACAGAGGAACCATGCAGCGCTGGAACTCTGCCGATTGTGTAACCTCCAAAATTTCTTCTAACTCTCCAAGGAAGAGAACCTCTTTCCCGCAGTTTGTGACAGGCCAATACTTGAGCAACCCCCTAATCACAGTGTCGGCCAATCTGTAGTCTTTCTCAACAAATTGTATTATACAGTAGGCCAACTGATGGTGGTACATAGCAATACATTTAGGCTTGTGCAACGGAACAAGTGCTCGCACAAGAAACAGCTTGTGCTCTTCTTTCATCGGCAAAGCGAATCCATTTATAATACTCCCAAGAATCTCCAACAACTCACCCACCCCACTGTACCTCTCAGTCTCGAATACGAATCGATAAAATATGTTATTGATCGCGTTCCTTATAAAGGGTCGGTGAACCATGAACCGCCCGTATATCCGGTGAAGAATAGTCTTCACGTACTCCCTTTCTCTGAGGTCCTCCGAATCAAACAAATCGAGCAGTTTCAGCACAAACGAGTGGTCGAGATATCTCTTAGCAATCTTGGTATCTGTATCCGACGACACAATGTATCTTAAGAGCAACTCGTATACAAGCTGCAAGTGGGGCCAGGCTGGATCCATGAACATCTCGTCTTCTTCAGGATCTCCAGCCTCAGAGCCTGTGTTTTCATGGGGTGCTGGCGGCAAACACCGGAAAATATTCAACGATATCATCTTCACCAACTCCTCTTGCATTACCTCGTTCATTTTACACGATCCAGATTGGACCAAATCAACGAGCTCTGTCAGGGTTTGCCTCTTAATCTCCTTCTCTCGTGCAGACTTCATTGTATCCGTGAAATCGAAGAAAAAGCAACAGACTTGGACTTTCCGGATGAACACCAAGTGTCTGTCCGAAATCGGTACATCCTTCAACATCGGCAAGACCTCAACTACCCCTGGGTTTTGTGGGACTGTTGCAAGAGTCAATGGGGGCGGTGACGGGGCGGCGAGCCGCGATGCGTGATTCACAGTCACGTTGGAGGCCGATGAGGTCGGCATCGGAGGCTCGATTGCCTCCGCTTTCGAGGGCTTCTTCTGCCCTCGTTTCATTATTTTGTTGAACATTGTTTCTTGTTACCCCAATTGAGAAATCATAAACCCATAAAACTATAATCAGTTTCTAGAACACTAATTCCACTACTCTATTTTTCCTAGTGAAGACCCAATCTTTTTTACCCTTTATTTTTTTCTTCTCCTTCTTCTTCTTCTACCTTCTACCACTTCCACAGAATTCAAATCAAAGCAGTTTCGTTAAAAAAAAAATTATGCACCCTGGAAAATGGGAGAAAGCGTAATTAATTTCAAAACTGAAACATCAAATCGAATCACCGATCTAAACAACAGTTTCTCGAACATAGTAGACTCAATTTTTAACACATTGTCACATACGAGCATGAACGAGTTTGCATTTCTGTGGATTAATTTTTTTTTTTTTTTTTGCAGTGTGTGCGTAAATAGCAGAGAGAGAAAATTAATACCTCGAATGGGATACGGCCAGAAATCATGAAATTCGAATCGCCATGAACGATTAGCAACCTGTGCAGGAAGATGAGAGACAGATTTTCTTAGAGAGAGAGAGAGAGAAAGAGAGAGAGAGAGAGAGAGAGAGAAATTGCGTGTTTCGATTTGGGGAAAGAAAGATCCGAAAAGGGTGGCAAAAGAATAATACCTAACGACAAATTATTATTTTTCCAACGGTGTACTACTTTCAATACCCACTTTTTTTATTATTTATATTTATATATATATATATATATATATATATATATATATATATATATATATATATATATATATATTTCTTTTTTATTTGTTTAATTTTAGTTATTATAATATTGTTAGAGGACATAATATAATCAACATTTAATATCATTTGTGAAAAATTAAAATTTAAAAACACAACCAAATACGTTATTTTTTATGAAATGAACAGAAAAATTGATGTAATCTCTTACAATATTTGACAATGTATCCGGACATGTTTGTGCGACACTTGTCTGGACATCTTATGAATCATTTTGTAATTTCTAAAAAGTCAGAAATATGTTTGAATAATAAAATTTCAAATATATTAATTGACTAGCTGATTAATTACATAATTTAATGATCAATTGTAAATTGATATTTGCTATTAATATTTATTTTGATATATTTTCATGGTAGTATATAATAAAAATTTATGTATGTTTATATAGTATATTTATAAATATACCCATGTACTTTTAATATTGATACATTTTCCCCAAATTTTAATATCCCCATTTTTTAAACATGTCGTTTTCTCATTTCCATGTATCGCAGTTTACGTATCTGACTATTCGTGCTAAATAATTTATAACAAATTAAAGTATAATTGGAGAATTGAATCGGATTCTTACACTTTTTAATAAGATAATTGTTTAGCAAAGAGAGAGAATTAGTCAAAAAAAATTATAATTAAGTGAGAATAAGTTAATTTGTGTAAAATTTGGAGTGATTTTGAATGGATCTAAAAGAATTTAATCAAGATTGATCTAGACCGTTGGAAAATACCTTTGAAGATTTGATCCGAGTAATCATAATTAGCCAATGAAATTAATTAATTAATTAATTAAACACTAATATTCTAATTTATTTTAATTTATCTAAAAATAAAAATAAGAACTTTATCCCCAACCCAACGGTAGACACTGTTTACTTTCCAACACTTCCTTCCCCACCACCGCAGAATGGCGGCGATAGCGGCGGCGGCCACCGCCTTCACAACCCTGCACCTCTCCAAAACATCATTCATCCTCCCCCGCCGCCACTTCCGAACAGTTATTACCTCATCCCTCTCCACCACCACCACCACCGCCGCCGCCGAATTCAAAATCACATTCGCCCCTCCTAAACCTAAGCCCCAATTACAAAAATCCGACCCCACAAACGCTCCGGGAATCGATTCCGGAGACCAGCTCCTCGTCCCGTGGATTCTGAGAGACGAAAATGGCAACATCAGCCTCCAGAAGATGCCGCCGCAGCGGTTCCTCAAAGCCATGGCGAATGAAAGCACGCAGAAAAAGAAGAAGAGGGATGATAAAACCCCTGCTAAGAAAGCCAAGGCTGCAATGCAATACGTTGAGCCCAAATACTCCAAGGCGGCTCGGAGATTCTATAACGAGAGGTTCCGGGAGCCGCCGCAGCGGCTCGCGAAGGTGCTGGCCACCGCCGGAGGTATATACTACAGTCGAACCTCTAGCAAAATTCTATTAATTTGACCAAATATTAAATTACCGACCTAATAATTTGCAGTTAAACCTCTATAAATTAATACGGAAATTCTGTTAATTTAGCGAATTATTGAATTATCAAGTTAATAAATTTAAAACGTTTTCACCGAGTTGGGACCGGGAGAAACTATTATCTAATCGAGGTTCTAATGTAGTAGGTTTTTACCAAGTCGTAACCAAAAGAAACTATTATTTAAGCGAGGTTATTAATTTATCGAGGTTCTGCTGTAGTATGCATTTCATTTATTGCATGATTTTGTTGTACAGTGTGCTGTTCCAGTAGTACCTTAGTGTGGTGTTGTATGCTACATGTGTATCCTCAGTTACTTTTCTTGTAAGTGTTTACAGAGAATTGGATTGTTTTTTTCGAATTTGCAATTGTTTCAAGAATCTTCCTTTTGAGGAGCCCATATTTTAGTTCACAGCTCTTGCCAGGCTGTTTGTGTAGAATACCCCCGAGTACTTGTACCGAAAAACCCGAAAACCCAAAAAACCCGAAAACCTGAAAAACCCGAAAACCCAAAAACCCGAAAACAATTATGTTATATACTACTAAGTAATGTTGTTTGATTGACAGTGGCATCTAGGAGAAGTAGCGAAGAGCTGATTTTCCAAGGGAAGGTGACTGTCAATGGTTCCGTTTGCAACACGCCCCAGGTTTGTTTCAGAGTCATTGTTAAGTATCGTATTTACCGATTTTATGTATTTCTATAAGTAAGATGTATTTAAAATAGATCCAATAAAACTTCATTCGACACCTGTATCATCAAAATATTGATTGTGGGGATGAGAAGTTCTCCGTGTAAGTAATACTTGTCTCGTTTGCTTATGATGATATGGCAGACCAGAGTTGATCCTGCCCGAGATATTATATATGTTAACGGAAGTCGACTGGCTAAGAAACTTCCTCCAAAGGTTTATCTTGCTCTAAACAAGCCGAAAGGGTTCGTCAACTCTATCTCTCGTTATCTTGGCACCTAAAACGTATCCTCGGTTTCTATGAAGCGATGGAGCTGATATAAAAATTATTGCAGTTATATATGCTCAGCTGGAGAAGAAGAAACGAAGTCTGTATTTTCTCTGTTTGATGATTTTATGAAGGGTTGGGTATGATTTACTTCCCGATACTAATTCTTTTAGGCTTAGTGTGAAACTACACTTATGAAAATATCGTTTTTTCTGAGTTAAGATGTTCGATGCGTTTTCCTCAGGATAAAAGGAATCCGGGAATACCAAAGCCGCGACTTTTTACAGTTGGGCGTCTTGATGTTGCCACAACCGGGTTGATTATAGTGACGAATGATGGTACACGTATCTTATGAATCATTCATCTATGGCCCGACGAATCGAATATTTGAACTAATGGTCTATTTTTATGCATTTATAGGTGAGTTTGCAAATAAGGTTTCACATCCTTCGTCTAATTTATCCAAGGAGTAAGTTTGTGCTTTCGTTTTTCCTTTTTTCTCTTGCTAGATTTTGTGTACGACTTGGAACTCCGTTTATATATACTTACTCACTTTTGTTGATTTTGTTCGTCAACTTTAAAGTTGTAAACTCACTTTCTTCCTTCTTATCTATCAAATGCAAGCATGCCATCTCATCCATGGTTGTTAAATCACGAATCGAATAAAAAAATCGCAGTGATTAAACCGTAAATAATAGTGAAAAACAAGAGTTGAAGCGAATTACTCATAAGATTCAAATTGAAAAGTTGAAAAGTCGAAACGATGAATCGAATTGTAAATCATACGAGTTTGACAAATATTATATAATCAATGTTCGTGTCTTTTGCTAACACATTAAATAATAGCGTTTTCAAAGTTTCTTTTTGGCTTTGTTATTAAAATGTTTGACGATGCTATGCTTTCTTATGATCTAATAACCGCCCCATCGATTTTTTGGTTCGTAGATACATTGCAACTATTAATGGTGCGGTCACGAAGCGGAACTTGTTGACCATTAGTGAAGGAACATTTGTAGAAGGTGTAAAGTGCGTCCCCGATTCAGTGGAGTTGCTACCGCAACAGCCCGATATTTCAAGACCTCGGCTTCGCATTGTGGTACTGCTATACTCAAATGCTTTACTTAGTGCTTTTCTGGTATTCTTAGTTCTTTTCTCTCGACAATATTTAAATGCCATTTCTTTGGTGGTGCAGGTTCACGAGGGAAGAAACCACGAAGTGCGAGAACTTGTGAAAAATGCCGGGCTTCAGGTATCGTTGAATTTCTAGTGTCCCTTTAGCATATGATGCTTGATTTTTTTTTATTGATTCCTAAACCAGCGGTTATTATTAATCCTCGACGATTCGTAATAGTGGCAAAACGAATACCACATAAAACCGTCTACGTTTTACCCCTCGCCTTTAAGTTGATTGTGTTCATGCTTGTTTCAGATTCATGCACTGAAACGTATACGCATCGGTGGTTTCAGGCTTCCTTCTGATCTTGCGTAAGTTTTGAATTTTCGACATTTTTCTTGTGTATATATTCCTTTTTGTAGTGTTGGTTTCGACATTTTTGGAAACACAAATAAACTTTGCGTGTGAAGTGATGATATACATACTGTCTGATATTGGACAGCCTAGGAAAGCACATTGAACTAACCCCAGCGCACATGAGGGCACTGGGTTTGGAAGAGCTCAAGAAATCCAAATCAAAATGACTTTCGTGCTCGATTTTTGCATAAACTCACTCCTGCCTCGTAATCGCTTTTTCTTTCACCAAAAAGCATAGATTCTGGGCAATATATACAAGTCCGAAGAGACGGAGAATCGACAAAAAAATCCGGCCTCCTCAATATCACCGGATAAATTAATCGATCACCTGTAGCGAAATTGCAAGTGTAGGAAACCCGACAATTCTCAATTATCGATCATGTATAGTTTACTGCAGTTGGACTATCTAGTGATTTGTATATCAGATGTATTTTTCGCTCATTTTTTTCTCTTCTCCGGTTCCGTTTTCAGATTCAAGAATTGTGAAATTTCAGTATGTTATTGTTCGGGTTTTTCGCTTGCGGAATGTGTTCAAGATTTTTCGTTTTAATTTTGAAAGAAATAAATTAGAAGAATTAGCAAATTCCAAACAAACACCACCAAGAAAAATTAAATTAAATTTAAAAAAAAAAAAAGAGGAAGAAAAACACACACACACAGTAGCAGAGTTAATCTTCATGATCACTCTCATCACTAAAATAACCAGTTTTCTTCTTACCCTTCTTCTCTTTCTTCACCACACCACCCTGCAACAACCTCTCCTCCGCCGCCCCATCACCATCCACCACTGACGCCCAATTCTCCGTCTCGAAAACAGCATCTCCCTCTTCCTCCTCCTCCTCCTCAAAATTACCCTCATAATTCTTCCCTCTACTTTCTCCTCCTCCGCCGCCGCCGCTGCGCCGCCCTCTCTTCGCCACCGGCCGCTCCCTGGGCCCCAAAAAATTCTTGGGACACTCGTAGGACAAATGGCCCTCCTCTCCGCACTCGTAGCACCTGCTCTTGTCCTTGTACACCTTCTTCCTGATGAACTCCGACGCGCGTCCGTTGTCCGACGCGATCGAGGCGCGTAGGGTTCGCCCGTTGAGCACCTTCTTGTCCATACCCTCGGCGGCCTTCACGGCGTCGTCGCGGCTCACGAAGAGGACGAACGCCACGCCCTTGCTCCGGCGCGTGGCCCGGTCCTTGAGGACCGTGACTTTCGCCACTTTCCCGAAGGTGGAGAAGATTATGTGTAGATCGGAGTTCGTCAGGTTGTAGTCCACGTTGCTGATGTAGACCGTCGATTTCGACGGTGCTAGGCTCCCCCTGCCTCCGCCGCGGGAGGATTTGGATGCCGTGTCCGATGGCGGCGGCGGTGCGGCGGCGGAGGAGTAGCGGTAGTAGAAGGTATCGTCCTCTTCCTCGTCGCTGTAGTTTCCCATTTTTTTCTCAATTTATTTTAATAATTCTATTATTTTGTTTCTTTAAGTACTTTTAAGCTAAAATTTCCAATAGGGTAAATTACAACCGGGCCCCTGAGGTAAGGTCTATTTACGCGGAAAAAACCCCCCTTATATTTACGTAATTACATCCAGTCCTGCAATTTGTAGGTTTCTCTTACATTAACATCCTTTTATAGGGGGTGGATGTAAAAAATTTACAAAATTAATGGAATTGGATGTAATTTTTAAAAGATAAGATTTTTTGCAATTACAGTTTATAGCAGGAAGTTGGTTGTAATTTACTCTAGTTAGTATTACCATATAAAAAGTTAAATTTGTTATTTCCAGTTATAATTTTATAAAAATGGGTAAATTACGGTCACCTCCTGAGATGAGGTCAAATTACGAAACCGTCTCATGTTTGGATAATACAACCACTTCCCTCAACTATGAATCGTCTTACACGTCCACCCTTATGATGTAAAAATCAACAGAATCTTCTAGATTTTGTGAAATGTTCTCTAATTTGTAGTCGTTTGGTGAAAAAATGCAGTTTCTAATGCACCACAATATGCTATTTACAAGCCAAGAGGAACATCTTGTTTCAAAATATGGAACTGGAAAGGGGTAAAAACTAGAGAATATTCCACATAATTTAGAAGATTCCACTAAATTTGACATCTTAAAGGGGACATGTCAGAAGATTCATAGTTGACGAATGGTTGTAATTAACCAAATATGAGGGGTTTTTTTCGTAATTTGACAGATTTTTTGGCACGATGTATATATCTGATAAAATGAACCAAAAAAATATCTGGTTTCTAAAGCTCTTCTAGGTTTGAAGAAGGACTACAATCAATACTAGAATACAAACTAATGATTATATCATATATTGTTAATACAACAACAATAAGAATGAGGTTTTTCCCATTATCTGAAATTCAATCATATGATAATTGCTTGCAAGATTCTTAATCTAATCGAAAAGCCCCTCATCGTGCCATATATCCACCAAAAAATCGACCATCTCCTGCAAAATCCCCAACTACCATCAATAATAAAAAATAAAATTGCAAATCGAGAAGATTAACTCGTACATATCTAAACGAGGATAGTGCGAAGTTAGCTTACGGTTAAAGGAATCCGTTCGGTGAAAGGTTCGTGAGTCGAGAGTAGGTCTTCGTATGTCATTGACCAACTGCAAGAACAAATGACGCAAATTTGCAAAATAGGTCTTCGTAATTTTTTAATATTTTAGTAGCCATGTTCGAGAGAAAGTACCTTATAATTGGATCCTTTGTCGTTCTTTCCGACCTGTTAGATACGTTTCCGATCCATTTTCTTCTGCTCTCGTTCCATACAGTTGCAGCTACACAATAGTGTTTTTAATCCTTAGAGAAGGGTAAAATCGTAAATGCACAGTAACATTGAAATAAAGAATATAAGCAAAGACGGTACCATTATTGACAAATACGGAAGTGCTCGGGATATTTTCGGAGGGCTTTTTCTGTAAATTTACGGGTGTGGGATTCTGCAAAGGTCTCGTCTCATTGCTGTGGGTATTTATACCATTGACTTCCATCATATCTTGAACGAAGAATCATTCCCCTTTTTTAGTAATTATCGACAAATTTTGAGTAAACCTTCAACTGCCGTTTTCAAGGTTTTTCTCGAGAAGTATAAATGAATCGAAATTAAGCAGAGTTTCGTAAAGAAACACGGATCTGCGTAAACCAGATAAATATTAAGAAAAAAAAACAACGAAAAATGCCAAATAGGCTACAAGTTTAAAAATATAGAGCTCGTGTTTTCGTTCGAGAAGTGGTGTAATAATTAATAAAGCACTCGTGCGAAACTATGTATATATACATACAAAAATAAAAATTGCAAAACAAAGTCAACAGGCTGACGTAAAGAAAGCCGATCGTTGGATAGAAATTTCACGAAACTTACTAATTATCCAAATATTGTACAGCAGTAAATTTGTCGCTCGGGGTTCGGAAATACTCCTCCAATGGCAGGACCTGTAAGCAACAAGATTGAGAAGAAACGAGAGGAATCGTTATCAATGGAATCAAAATGGAACGAGGAAAATGTTAAAGAAATCCTAACATAAGTTCGACTAATCAACTTCCACCCCTAGAGTTCACAAAAGTAATTATTACATTCGTCTATTTATTCCGTCGCATCGCCGCACAAAAAGTTTAAACCGGCGTAAAGTAATGATTCAAATGTTCGGATATTAGACGAAAGAGAGATGCATAGAATAAACGGAGAAATTTCGATATTCAAGATTATGGTCAAGATCTAAACCATTAATTATCATATCCTAATTAGTAGGACCAGGACAAATCTAATTTATCTCAATATTACAATCCTAAAACATAATAAGCATTTGCATTCAACCAAATTAAAAATTAAATTACAACCAAAATCAGATCACATTTCCTTCAAACGGAGAACCGAAACAAAACTAATCTAAAACCAAAAAACCCAGTAATTAATTAATATTCAATTGCCGCCACTAACATCTCAAACCCCAGAAAACCACAAAATTTTCCACAAGAACATGAACATTCACAAAATAATAATAAAAATAAAATAAAAAAATAAAAAGTAAATAAAATAAAATAAAAATACCAACAAACAATAAACAAAAAAAAATGAAGAGAGAGAGAGATGGTTTACCTTTGAGTATAGGTTCTGCTGTGAAGGGGACCAAAACTAGAGAGAGAGAGAGAGAGAGAGAGAGAGGAGAGAGAAAGAAAGAATTTAGAATTGTAAGAGGGGGCGTATATATATAGGCAGAAGAAAAATTGTGTGGGGGTGGGGGGTGGGTCTCAGGAATATGCAATTGTCAATTTCTTGGTTAGGTGGCATATCTTTTCAGTTTTCTTCCCCAAGTTTCTTGATTCTCTCTCATCAGCTGACGTGGAAATGGGATCCTTTTTGCAGGATAATGCTAAGAAATTTCTGTCATTTGGAATGGGCCCCACCACCTTCATCAAATTAGGCATGAGTTAAACATGTCTATACTCTATAGATTGAATGTTTTCCCTTCTAGTTGTGCATTATCCGATCTCATTTCATTTTTTTAGGTTTAATTCCATTTTCCCCTTTTAGGTTGGTTCGATATCATTTTATCCATTTTATTTTCGATTGCACGATTTATCCCAGGTACTTGAAAAATTGTTCAATGTGACCTTCGTTGTTAGTTGTCAGACATTTGACATTAACACCGTTTGATCTAACCTCTGAAATTACCAAAACGCCACTTCTCTTGGTTTAAATAATTATTAAAAAATAAAATAAAAAAAATAATATAAAATTCAAGACAACGAGAAAATATAGTCCACGACTCCCACCACAGTTTATTATTATTATTCTTTTCTTTAATAATTATTTAAATTGGGAGGTGTGACTTTTTTGTAATTTTCAGACTTCGATCGAACGTCGTTATTAAGGTCAGAAGTCTGAAAACTAACGACGAGGGCATACTGAGACAATTTTTCAAGTACAGAGGCAAATCGATTCAATCGAGAGTAGAAGAGGGTAAAGTGATATCGAGCCAAAGTACAAGGGAGGATAGTGGAATTTACCCTTTTTTTATTTATGGTAAATTACAACCACCACTAAGGTATCGTCAAATTATGAAAAAACCACCTCTCGTGTTTGGGAAATTACAATTACCCATCAACTATAAATCCACCCTTGCGGTAATAAATTTTGTGGAATTTTCTAAATTATATGGAATATTCTCAATTTTGTACCCGTTTAATCCCATTCGCAATCCACATTTTGAAACAAGATGATTAAAATATGTGTTTTTTGACTTGCATATATCAGATTATGGTGTGTAAGAAACTGCATTTTTGCACAAAACGAGTACAAATTAGAGAACATTCCACGGAAAAGAATCGAGAAGATTATGTTGAATTTGACACCATAAGAGTGTACGTGTGAGAAGATTCATAGTTGAGAGGATAGTTGTAATTATCCAAACATCATGGATTTTTTCGTAATTTGACCATATCTTTGGAGGTATTGTAATTTACCCTTATATTTAGCTAATTTCTTTTAATTTTTTTACTTCCGGTTTATTAATATGTATTTTCTTCTTTAATTTTTTTTATTTTTATTATCTTATTTTCCCATATCACCTCCGCTCCCACAACCATTCGCGAAGCAAAAACTTATTATCTACGGGGCTTGAATTTTTCAGGAATTTGGGGGCAGCAATCGAATTTTGGTAAGTAAAACAAATTATACGGATTTAAGAGCAAGATCTTTAATTTCATTCAACCCAAAAAAATCATTTCTTAATCGCATATCGACAATTAATTTGGATTTTGAACGAATGGGCTAAATGATATAAAGTAAGTGAGTTAAAAAATAAAAATTCAATAATTATTAGTGTCCAATAAAAAAAAAATTACTTCATATTCGGTTTCAAGATGTTTAATAAAGCTTATAAACTTTTCCAAATTATCCAAAGTGTTTGGTAGAAAAATTAAAAAAAGATCTTAATTTTTTTTAAAATAAGCTGCTGGAGAGTTTTTAAGATTTCTTTTATAAATATTTTTACCCTACTTTTTTATTTAAGATCTTATAATGAGTAAAAAATAACTTATAAGCTCATTATTCAAAGACTTTAAAATTAATTTTAAAAATAAAACGTAACAACTTATCAACTCTTATTCATCAAATTTAAAAGCATATTAACTTTTTAAAATAAATATAGCCAAACGAGCACTAACTCAATTCGGCTAGTGATTATACAATATACAGCCCAATCACACAATTAATCCAATAACGTCAAATTAAATGAAATGTATCGTTTTAGCCCAATTGAGAATTCCAAAACTGCAAAATTGTAATATATGTCTGTCCCATTTTATTCAACGGTTAACCGGTTGACCCGCAAAATAGGAAACCCGACCCGGTCTGTACTGTAATAGTGAAGAGAGCAATATACTGTATATATAAATATAAATATAAAATACATAAATGCACAAAAACCCTAGTTAGTGCTGCTTCTTTCTTCTTATCTTTGCTCTCAACAGTTGTGGCGTCTCATTCTCTGCTGAGGCGCGTTGCTGTTCATCGACACAGGACCCGTTTCTGTGTTGTTTTCCCATTTGCAGACTTCAATTCCTGTAAATCGAGGTTATTGTATTTCCTATTTACTGTCTAATTTTCGTATGCTGTTCGATTTTTTTATTTTTGTTTTCATTTTTATTGGGATTTAATCGTCGCTGTGCGTGAAGTCTGGTTTAGATTATAGAATTTTTTTGCAATTTTTCTTATGGATCTGGTTTCCGTTTCGTGAAGTAAGGTTCAATACTTTTTTGATGGGTTTACTTATAATTTTGATTTTGTTGTTCAATAGAGAAATGATGAAATCAAGACATTTTTTTTGGTTTTGGTTCGTTTTGTTTTTGATGTCGTTGACTTTGAATTTTACGTTTTGCATCCTGTTTGATGTTTGGAGTGTGTAATGAATGTGTTTTCTAGGTGTCCTGCTTCTGAAGTTTTGTTCTTTTGCACTTACAATGGTGTAATTGTCTATTTTGTGGTTATAAGGGTTAACTGGGAGTTCTATATAATTACGTCATCTGTCGTGCAATTTGTAATTGATTTTCTCTTTTAAATTGTAGTTTCTGTGGGCTAGCTGGACAAGAAATGGCAGAAGAAACCGGAAAAAGCTTTGCTAGAAGAGATCGGCTTTTGGAAATTGAATCGAAGGTCCAGAAATTGTGGGCAGAGAGCGACGTGTTTCGAGCCGAGCCAAAGGACTCACCACCAAAACCAGGGGAGAAGTTCTACGGTAACTTTCCATTCCCTTACATGAATGGATATCTCCACTTGGGCCATGCGTTTTCCCTTTCGAAGCTTGAATTTGCCGCCGCGTATCATAGATTGAGTGGAGCAAATGTGCTGTTGCCATTTGCCTTCCATTGTACTGGAATGCCCATTAAGGCTTCAGCCGATAAGCTCACAAGGGAGATTGAAAAGTTTGGATACCCTCCCGTCTTTCCAGAAGTCAAAGAGGTGGAAAATAGCGAGGCTGAGGATAAACTAAAGGGTGAGAATGAAGCGAGTCAAAATCAACCAGGTGGTAAATTCAAGGGCAAGAAGTCAAAGGCTGTTGCTAAGACTGGTGATGTAAAGTTCCAATGGCAGATTATGCAGAGCTACGGTTTGTCGGATGAGGAGATACGTAGATTCACAAACCCGTATCACTGGCTGACTTTTTTCCCACCTCTGGCCGTAGAGGATTTGAAGGCTTTTGGGCTGGGTTGTGATTGGAGGCGCACATTCGTCACTACCGATATGAATCCGTATTTCGATTCTTTTGTTCGGTGGCAGATGAGGAAATTGAAAGCAATGGGTAAGATAGTTAAAGACTTGAGGTACGCTGTGTATTCACCTCTGGACGGTCAGCCATGCGCAGATCACGATCGAGCTTCGGGGGAAGGTGTTAATCCGCAAGAGTATACTCTCATAAAGATGGAGGTCGTCTCACCTTTCCCGTCAAAAATGAGTGTTTTGGAGGGAAAGAAAGTCTACCTTGCAGCCGCAACGTTGAGACCAGAGACGATGTACGGTCAAACAAATTGTTGGGTATTGCCAGATGGCAAATACGGGGCTTTTGAAATTAACGACACTGATGTCTTTGTCATGACAAGAAGGGCGGCTCTGAACTGTGCTTATCAGAATCTGTCGCGTGTTTCGGAATCACCGACTTGTTTGGTTGAGTTGACTGGTCAAGATCTTATCGGGCTGCCGTTAAGATCCCCTCTGGCGTTTAATGATATCATTTATACACTCCCCATGTTATCGGTTCTCACTGATAAGGGTACTGGAGTTGTTACTAGTGTTCCGAGTGATTCTCCAGATGATTACATGGCGCTCCATGATTTGAAAGCAAAACCAGCGTTCAGAGCCAAGTATGGGGTGAAGGACGAATGGGTTTTGCCATTTGAGATCATACCCATCATTCACCACCCTGATTTCGGAGACAAGTCTGCCGAGAAAATATGCATTGACATGAAAATCGCGAGCCAGAACGACAAGGATAAGCTGGTTATGGCCAAGGAAAAAATCTACAAGGGAGGGTTTTACGAGGGAACCATGATTGCCGGTGAGTTTACTGGAATGAAAGTTCAGGAGGCGAAAAGTTTGATTAGAAACCAGCTTTTACAGCTGGAGCAAGCTGTGGTCTACAGCGAGCCCGAAAAGAAGGTCATGTCAAGATCCGGCGATGAGTGTGTTGTGGCTTTGACCGATCAGTGGTACATCACTTACGGAGAAGAAGAATGGAAGAAGGCTGCGGAGGAGTGCTTGGCTTCGATGAATCTTTACTCAGACGAGACTCGACATGGATTTGAACACACCTTGGGCTGGTTGAATCAGTGGGCATGTTCTCGAAACTTCGGGCTCGGAACTCGTATACCTTGGGATGAGCAATATTTGGTAGAATCTTTGTCCGATTCAACTCTGTATATGGCGTATTACACTGTAGCTCACATGCTGCAGGGTGGAGACATGTATGGAGCTGACAGATCTTTAATAGAACCGGAGCAGCTGACAGACGAGGTTTGGGATTTCTTATTCTTGAATGGCTCTTTCCCCAAAGCATCAGAAATATCTTCGTCAGTTCTTAATAAGATGAAGAAAGAGTTCGAGTATTGGTACCCGTTTGATCTGAGAGTATCTGGGAAGGATCTCATTCAGAATCATCTAACATTTTCTATCTACAATCATACAGCACTGATGCCCAAGCATCATTGGCCGAAGGGTTTCAGATGCAACGGCCACATTATGTTGAACTCCGAGAAGATGTCAAAGTCAACAGGAAATTTCCGGACCCTTCGAGAATCTATCCAAGAGTTTTCGGCCGACGCAACAAGGTTCTCCCTTGCAGATGCTGGTGATGGAATGGACGATGCCAATTTCGTCTTCGACACCGCAAATGCTGCAATTTTACGGCTGACGAAGGAAATCTCATGGATGGAGGAGGTTTTTGCTGCGGAGTCGACTTTGAGAAGTACTTCTTCGCCTCTCACTTACGCGGATCGTGTTTTCGCCAACGAAATGAATATAGCAGTGAAGATGACACAGAAGAACTACAGCGACTATATGTTCAGGGAGGCTTTGAAGAGTGGATTCTATGATCTCCAGGCGGCGAGGGACGAGTACAGGCTCTCGTGTGGGGCCGGAGGGATGAGGCGCGATTTGTTGTTGAGGTTTATGGATATTCAGACACGTCTTATCGCTCCGATTTGCCCGCACTACGCCGAATACGTTTGGAAGGATCTGTTGCATAAGGAAGGGTTTGTGGTGAAAGCTGGTTGGCCTGTAGCAGATTCGCCGGATTTAACCCTCAAAATGGCGAATAAGTATTTGCAGGATGTTATTGTCTCTATGAGGAAACTCTTACAGAAGCAGGTATCTGGTCCGACGAAAGGCAAAAAAGCTGCCCCCACTCCACAGATTGCACCGAATGCTGCCTTGATATTTGTCAACGAGCAATATGACGGTTGGAAACGAGAGTGTTTGAACATACTAAAGGGCAAGTTTGACTCTGTTAGTGGCAGTTTCGCACCCGACCAACAGATTATGTCTGAACTGCAAAGCTGTGAATTTGGTCAGGCGATGGGTGCTAAACAGTTGCAGAAGCTCTGTATGCCCTTTGTTAGGTTCAAGAAAGATGAGGTGAAGGCGGTCGGTGCACAAGCCTTGGAGTTGAAGCTGCCGTTTGGGGAAATCGAGGTTCTTACAGAGAATGCTGACCTGGTAAAGCGGCAGTTAGGGCTCGAGCATTTGGATGTTTTGTCTGTGTTGGATGCTGATGCGGTTGCTAGGGCTGGTGAGCATGCTGCTATCCTGAATTCTAACCCTCCTTCACCGGGAAACCCTACTGCTATCTTTTTGAGTCGGTGAAGTTTTTTTTTTTTTTTTTTGAAGACATTTTGGTGTTTTTGTTATGTTTAACTTTTTGCCTTATTTTTTTGTAACACAAAAAACCAGTTCTTGATTCCGGGTACTTTGTTTTGAATGAGATTTGTATTATTTTTTTTTTTCTGGGTTTCTGTTTATATACTGTTTCGGTTCCGGTTTGAACTTCGGTCTTGATTTTCGAGACTCAGCATATTTAGTTTGTACTCAACTCTCTGCTATTATATAATGACAACTTGGATCTCTTCAATTAGTAATAATCACATTGTCAATTTCTTGGTTCATCCTTGTATAGAAGATATGAGGTAAGATTTATTTTAGATTTATTTACCCAAAAGATCTAAATAACGATGACAGTTTCTAAAGTTTTTCGAGGGCAAATTAATAGGATAATAACGGTAGCAACAAATACTATCTTGTCCTAACCATCGAAAGGTTCGAAAATATTTAAGATCAGTTTGAGGGAAATAAAAAAACAAGTGAAATCGGTCACATTTTAACTGCAACAAACAAACTACAGGGTTAATCATGCAACATTGGCAATAAGCTCTCCCTGTAACTTGAGAACAAAAGGAGCAACCGAGTAGGCAGACATTCGTTGCAAGGTTTAGTCGAACCTAATCTTCTTCGGAGCAACTTGGACACTTCCCACCTGCAAATAGAACACAAGTCGATTTTTTCATTACTTTATAGTACCGCTAAACGAGACACATTTATCATATTCTCAACAAACAAGATTATAAAGTAATGAAGAATAAAATGACATGCTTACAATTTCTGGGCACTCGTATTCAATACCAGCAGCCTCGATCCGCTTTCTTCTTTTTAAATCCCTTTTCACTACACCTGCCACTAATTTATTCTGTTGTTCCAGTGTCCGTTCCTATAATTATATATCCAATCAAGAGAATTTACAAATTAGAGACCAAAAATAGGCAAAAGATACACAATGACGAGATTTTATAAAAAATCAATCAGCCTCTGTAAGTACCTTGTCGTGACGCTTCCTTTCAATTTGAACCCAATCAGAGGGTTGGTACGCGCGACCCACACCTTCCATCTACGAAGAGGATTGATATTAATTACATTTAAAATAGAAATTACCATTCCACGGGATTGACTTAAAGATTTGGCTTAAAATGTACGTTTTCGAGATAAATTGAGTATGTACTTACATTTTTGGATGAACTTTTTCTGGGGGGACGATGCGAACTTGCAGCAGATGCTCGTACATGAGATAATTATGCATGCATTCTTCAACAACTTTGGCGACCTGCATTAATCAGAAGTAACATGAGATATGACAAAAGTAATACGAAACATCGAGAAATACAGTTACTAATATTGCAAGTGAAGCGTACAACCTCAGGAGACTCGAATTCCATGAATCCAAAATGCTTCGATTTCCCCGTCTGTCCATAGAAGAAAAAAATAAACAGATTAAATACATATATAACTACATGCCTTGTCTCAATGATGCAAACCTCCATAACACGGATAACAGAGGAAATCTATCGGAAATTTTCAGCAACATTTTTTCTAATTTTGCTATTTTAGAACCTGATAAACCGGTTCATACTGCATTGAAAGAAATTCGAAGCTAACATAGCAGGTCAAATTCTCCCTGTTCCAAAAGATTCATAGAAGAGCTTTCGTTGCAACGTGTATATGTACTGAATTGTACGAGGTAAAGGATAATGCATGTCAAAATAGATTAATCGTATAACCTAATACAGTTACGAACATTTAATACAATAGGAAGATAGAGAACAGAACCATCACCCGAAGAAACAAAACTTAGATAGATGCACACCCTTCTTTTTATAGTTAGCCAAAAACGATAATCTGGTTTTCCTAATATAATAATTTATCCTCGTACGATCGACGTACTAAATTCAAAATTATGTAACACCTTGATAGAAACAACACACAGTAACCAAGATTTCAACCTTTTCCCAACCTCAAATCATTGTAATTGAGATTTACAGAATATTCTACTGAAGGAACTATTATTCAGCTCCATTTCTTGAAACTACGCAATATTAAACATGAACGAAGAGCTAAACAGGGGAAAAAAAACGAACCTTTCTATTCCTTGCAATTCTGAGCCTCTTGACTGTACCAAACTGCTTAAAAAAAGCTGCAAAAAAACCAATATCCGTAAGGGTCGTGCACCGACAAACACACGGTCTAGTGCAAGTTTATTAAATAACTAAACGCGGATAGGAACAAACTAATCGAACCTTCCATTTCATCCTCGAAGAATCCGTGTGGGACTCTCCCAATGTACAAAACTGTTGCTTTGTTCTCTGTATTCTCAGTCTTCGGAAGATTCCTCGCCTTACCGCCTTCCAACGGCTACTCAAAAAATACACATAATTAATTAAAAAAAAAAAACCCTAATTAACATCTAATTGCTGATATGCAGATATAATTCAACAGGAATGAAATCCCACAACCATTACGCCCAAAAAAAAAACCCCTCCAATTACAGTATTCGTTTTCTGATTTATTAAACACGAGTGAGTTTCAAACTCAGCTTCCTCCACCATTAAAGAGAGATTTTTGAGGAAAAAAACATTGCATACCAAGAAATCAGGGGTTGCGTCTCCGGTAGCAGAAAATTGGGCCGATGCCTTCTTCACATCCTTCTTCGCCGCCTTTCTAGCTTTTGCCCCCATTTTTCCTGCAAATATTTATGCTCCTTGAAATTAATAGCAGTATTAAATTGAGAATGAACTCAATGCAATTTTTATCCAGAAAATACGAAGGAGTATTACCAGGTGTACAAATCGGAGAGAGAGAAAGAGAGTGGGAGAGAGGGGAGACGGAGCCTTAAACCCTAGTTTTGGTGGTTTTGTAAATATAATAATTATGTTTCACTCCCTCATCTTTTCTATTAGTATAAGTTCGGTCCACGTGATTCCCTTACATTTTTATTTTTTGGGTAAATTACAACCAACCCCTGAGGTAAGATCAAATTACGAAAAGACCTCTCTTGTTTATATAGTCACAGTCACCGCTCAACTATATATTGTCTTGCGAAAAAAACTCTTTCGGCTGGTAAATTTAAAGGTGTTCATTCGGTCAACTATATATTGTCTTGCGAAAAAAACTCTTTCGGCTGGTAAATTTAAAGGTGTTCATTCGGTAAAATTGTACCGAAATTACGGTACGCTAAATTCATACCGTTTATCGTACCGTTTGGTATATATATATATATATATATTTATATATATATATATATATATATATATATATATATATATATATATATATATATATATATCTCCAATACGCCCCCTCAAGTGCAAACGAATTACATTTGAAGCCTTGCATTTGAAATATTTTATTTTTAAATGGGTGGTTGTGGGATTCGAACTCAGGACCTTTCATTTGGTCTGGCTCTGATACCATGTTGAATGATCATCTCAACCAATAGCTTAAGCTATTAGTGAAATGTATCATTTAATATTAATATCTCCAATAATAATCGGCATGTTCCGAATTTTCGTTCTGTTCAGTTCGGTTGGTTTACCGACCGGACGAACACCCCTATATAAATTTGACAACGTAAGGGTGAACGTGTAAGGAAATACATAATTGAAAGAGGTGGTTGTAATTACGCAAACAAGAGGATTTTTTTTTCTCATGATTTGGCCTTAACTCAGGCGGGACCGTAATTTGCCCTTATTTTTATGAGAAAAGTTTGTTAATGGTTTAAATCGTGAGTGCGAAACAGCAACTTTAGGTATGAAAGTGAGAGTTAAGGCTACAACTTTAGTGTTACGATCTTTCGACGACGACATTGAATTTTCAACAACAAACCCGAGTCGTTGAATTTTCAATTCATTTTGAAAAGAATTATTCAAAAATCGGCAATTATCCTACAAGTTGAACCATCGGATCACGAGTTGGAAATATCACATCCCATAATCGACCCTTCATATACAGTAGAACATCGAAAAATTAATACTCGATAAATTAATAGCCTCGATTAAATAATAGTTTATCTTTGTCCCGACTCTGTGAAAATGTGTTCAATTATTAACTCGATAATTTAATAATTCGCTAAATTAATAGAATTTTCCGGTCCCGACTATATTAATTTATAGAGGTTTAACTGTCCAGTTTTCAAATTCGGGTCGAAAATCCAATTAATCCGGGCAAAATACCCCGATTACGATTTTCCGACAATAACGTCGTTGGGTTCGGACTCCGATTAAAACGATGGGGTTTATAGCTAATTGGCCCATATAATTATTTTAGAGTGGTGCTATTCCCACCTCCAAAGTATCTCAATTAACCACCAAAGATATATAAAATGTTATAAATGCCCCTTAAATTTATAATCCACCACCCTTTCTTATATTTGCTTAATCCTCGTGTGTTCTAAGTTATTTCTATTTTTTTTTTATTTTGCAATGAAATATTTATTGCAATATATTGAAATTTTAAACTTTCATTATGTAGTTTTTTTTAGGAAAAAAAATTATATTAAACTAAATTGGCCAATTTTGGAGGAAGTTCGGGATCTTCCATACAAACATTTTTAATTTATTTCTCTATAAACGTGAATTTCTGGTATTTTTTACGTTTGGAAATATTTTTTTATGACGAAAGTATTATTCACATAAGGTAGAGGGAGTTTTTTTTATAAATATTTGAATTAGTTTAGTGGTAGACAGTTTATAAATTTATAAAACTATAAGTGAAAGAAAAAGAAATGGATAAAATAAAAAAAAATTAATTTAGTGAAGAAATAAGATATTTTAAAATGAAATAAGATATTTTGAAGATTGGTGTAACACGTCTCTTATTTTATATTGTTCTCCCACTTCATTGTAATACCATATACTAATATTTCATGTTGTCAATTTTTGGTTGTCATCCTCCCAACCGACACAAATTAGTTAAATAATAAGGCCAAATTGTAACCCCAAAATATTTTAATAATTAATTTGTTTTCGTCAAAGTTAAGAATTGATCATCGTATTGAAAAATTGCATTTATGAATTAATTTGCAATGACAGTAACAATTACTATTATTTAAACCGTATATTGCTTCCTAAAAGTCATGAAGTCTTCGTCAATAATTTAAAAAAAATAATTGAATTGATAATTACATCACATTTATGAAGTCATTTTGCTAAGCTGTCAAATACGACCTAATTATCACTTTAAGAAAGATTTAATGAACCTAATTTCTTAGCTTAACTAAAGTAAAAAAGTTAGCCCCCCACTAAGTAATTTTGAAATATAATATAAAGATTTATATTGTGCAAGAATCACAAAATGAACTTGTACCTAAGTTACTTATATAATTGGTGATATATATTATGTTCATTATTATTTTGGTTTTACTTTTACAATATTTTGATTCTAGGGTTGGGCATGGATCGAGTTCGGTAATTATCGACCAATTATTTAACCGATTTTGTTGAATATTGAAAATTATTGTCGGCCCGATCATTATGGGTCGGATAATGGTTGGCAATCGACTTTGTCGTGTAAATAATAGGTCGGTTGGTGGTATTATCGGCCATCGACTTTGTCGGATAAATATATAGTGAAGAATATGAAATAAGAATTACAAAATAGAAATAGTAAGTAGAAATTTATAAATATGTGTTTGGAGTTTCTTAATTGGACTTCTTTTATATTGTATTTCAACATTAAGAAAATAAGAATTGCAATTAAATATTTATAATAAATTTTTTATTATTAAAAAAGTTGGTTGACTGATATTACCCGATTAACCGATTTTTGACTGAACTGAAAATCACCGACCGACCGACCCATTTACATATATGTTAGTAAAAATTACCGATCCGACAAAAAAATTGTCACAAAAAAGGCTGATCGAAAGTGGATCGGTTGGCCGATAAAATCGACCAATGGCCAGCTATAATTGATTCTATTAAAACATGAGTAGTAATTAATATATCATGTTTAATGGGAGGTGGAGGGGAGGGAATTTAATTTTACAAATTATTAATAGGACTAATTGTTGTCTTATGTTCTATACTTCTACTCAATAAAAATTGGAGTGGTACTTTTTTAATTTTTTTTTTAACTTTTAAAATAGAAGCTTTGACCCAAAGTCAAAGTTAAGACAAATAGAGAATGAATTGAAACCTACTTTCTACCAAATATCAAACAAAACTACTTAATGAAAGGGAGAATTTTCCCAACAAATAAATGAAAAAGAGAAAGAAATCTAAGGGCAATTTCTTTAAACTTATTTTAAAATAGTTAAACTCTTACGGCTGATAAACTATTTTAAGATCAACTGATAAGTCGTTACGTCTTAGTTTTAGAATTTATTTTAAAATTATGGCAAAATTACGGTCACCCCTTAAGGTAATGTTAAATTAAGAAAAATCATTTTTTGTTCGTATAATTACAGATATCCCTCAACTATGTATTTCCTTACACGTTCACTCTTTCGTTATCAAATCTACATAAAGGTGTTCATCCAGTTGGTAAACGGACCGAACTGAACCGAACGAAAATTCGGTACACACCAATTAGTGAATCGGTAATTTGGTTCGATATTATGTATATTCCCTAAATAGAGCCTAAAGAAATATCAACTTTTTTCATTCTCCAAACATAGCCTTGGAGGGAATATCCAACTCCGATCCAACTCTCTCTCTCTCTCCAAACATGAGAGAGAAAGAATACTATAACAAATTGCCACTCACTGGGGATGTTTGGTTATGTTTCCAAAATGAATTTCTAGTTTTCAAAATTTCTGATGGAAAAAGTAGATTATTGGTTTTTGTGTAGAAAATGGGAATATGTTTGGATGAAGGTGTATTTTTAGTTTTATGTAGGTGTAGAAATGCCAATATGTTTGGTTGTGGTGAATTTTATCTACGAAAGTACGTGCAAAAGTAGAATATAATGAT